TAAAAGTCACTTCCTTCAACGGAAGATCGACATCCTTTTTGTATTCCCTTATCTCCTAAAATTTTAGTCACCCTGGGAACAGTCAACTCCTCGGTAAATCCCGCTTTTCGTGTTCAGGTGAAAAAATACGAGATACTGATTGGTTAAAACTCGTCAGAAAAAGAAAGAATTCGGAATTATTCTGGGAGTACGCCACGAAATTCGAGAGACGGAAGACGTATTCCACATCTGCTCCCTACGGCCAACGCCCATAACCGATTCCCAAAGTCTGTTAAAAATGTGTTATTAAATTGTTAAATACAGAGAAGAAAATGTTTATTGATGTGCCATCAAGGAACTAACCAAAGAGAGAACATTCGCAATACAGAAGATAAGAGAAATGTCTGAGGTAGTATGATTTTTACAGAAATTGTGAACTCTCTCTCTTCGCGATAAATACCTTTATTCGAAGGTCTATTTTGTATAATTTTATTTTGTTTATTAAATATTTGTTCTATTGTTAAAGAAATGGTCTCACAAGTTTCTGCATCAAAAACATCTTATCATCTGCTAAATTATTCCATACGCGTGTTAATTCGCGTAATACAAATCTGATTAACTGGTGTCATCACCCTGACGTGGATTTGAATCTCAATATTTGGATCCGTTTTAAAAGCCCTTAAGGCCATCCTTCGACTAGAGATCGGATTTCTCGATCCGAAACCAAGAGAACAGATTTAACTTAATCTGTGCCGATTAAGTGGTACAAATTCTTCGAATCTGTAACCCCGGCTAACTCACAATAGCATTTACAATTTTTTATAAAATATTTCTCAGTATTCCTTTCAGGATTGATTTTAGTAAGTTGGAGTTTATCGGTTTTTACGACATTGGTAAGTATTCAATACTCGATAAGTGTTTGAAAAATTTTATACTTTTAACTATTATAAAATGACAAAACGCTTAATTATGACGATAGGGTAGGTTTTATAAGAAACTGTAAAAACTAATACAAGTAAAATTGTTGTTACATCTGATCCTACTGGAGACACACTGTCCTCTTTATCTTTCTATCGCTTTCACCTTTAATCAGCAAAATTTAATAGTATTAATCTTCCTAACAATGAACCCTCTCTGCAAAATTTCATAAATTTTCGACAAAAACTACAAAAGTTATTAAACTCTCAACAAAATCGAGCGAAAGGAGAAAAGAGAACATTCTGAAAAAAGAAATTTAAAAACTAAGTACAAATTGTAAGTAGCAATATGATTGGTATAGCTATTGAAGCAGTAAAAAAAACTGAAAAAACGACTAGTGTCAATGAAGATTCACACAGAGGAAAAACAAGAGTTTCTTCGAAAATAAATAGCACAAAGAACAAGATTAATTCACCTATATACTACAGTAAAGCGTCGATTTTCCGAATCAATTAGGGTCTGGGGTTGTCCGGATAACTGATTTACGTACGAAAAAATAGTTTAACGTATCCGATGCCAAAATTTTTCTCCGTTGCGTGTCGCTTCGCGTTGAATTTTCGTCGATGTCAAGCCTAACGAAGACTATTGTATCGTTAAAAATTATTTTTTTATTTTGTACAAAGAAAATAAATATTTTGAAAAATATAAAAATAATAAAAAATTATACTTCAGATGTTAATTTAGTATCAAAAACGTAAAATATTTGAGTAGCCCAAGACGTAGCCAAAGATTGAAGCGCCACAGCACTGGCGAAAATTTAAATTTGCCGACTGGAATTCTTTCGGATGATTGACTTTCGGAAGATCGACGCTCTACTGTACTTGTTTTTGAACCAAACATATCATAGCAAAAACACTAATATTTAAAATGTCAAAAGATACAGAGAGAAAGACATCCCAACAGAAATATTCTATCAAAACGAAAAATTCAAATTAAGATATTCTATGGAGAAATTTACCAGGAAACATGGAAAAAAACACATGCAGATTGGTTGTCCTCTTTCGTCGTGCATTCGATTCTTTTCTTGACAGAAGTAATTTGGAATGGTGAATATGAAATCAGAAAAGTGATTTTATAAAACAATGTTCAAGATTTTAAGTGTTTGAGTTACTCTTGAAAACTTCTTCGAATTTCAGTTATAAATATACAATTAATATTAATTGTGATCAGTATGATAAATTAACATTTTTTTATTTATGCATTTAACTGTAACTGTTTATTATTTAACAGAAATAACTCATTGTATGAAAGGACGTATAATAATATTTTTTCTTTTTCAGATGTACGACAGCTTCATAAATATTGAAAAGATTTCTTCTGTGGCCTTTTTTCTAGAGTTTAAGTTCAAGGTAACGTTTACTGTTTAAATTTCATTTATTACAGTATTTACTTTGGAGTAAAATTTTTGTTTCAGATGGACGATTTCATGAAGAGATTTGGAAAGAATCCAATTGGTATATCCATTGGTGGATTCTTTTATATCAAGAGAAATTTTGTTATCAGAGTAAGTATTGAACACCACTAATACAGGGCAATATACATTCCTTATCATAAGTAGTGGTGCAATGAAATTTTATCAAACATAAGAAAAACTAACTTTTTATCGAAAATTAGTAAGAATTTATTTACGTTTAATTTCAATTTTAGGTAATTAGCGGCTTATACTCCATATTGTCTTCACTTGTGCAAATTAGTGGAGTATTGGAACGAGAAAATAAGTGTCTTGTGCAGTACAGAAACAGCACAAGATCCAGCACATAATGCAACTGTTACGTATTAAATTAATGATTTGATTAAAATAAGAAAATTGCCAGATTTTATATATATCAAGATTATTACGAGGCTTATAAGGATAAAATTCAGGGAAAGACTCTGTTAAGACCAGTGAGCATAACACTTTGTCAGAAGAAACTAACGATAAACGCTAATGATGTTTCTAGTGATAATTCGTTGGGCAAAAGGTACGGGTGAAATAACTGCTTCACGTAACCATACAATGGCACTGATATATCCACACATGACATGAATATCTTTTCACAACAGTCCCAGGCAATTTTGTCCAAAATCAGTGGACAACAGAAACAGTAACAGAGTGACTAGTTTTCGGCGTGCTAGGAAAACCAGTGCAAGTTCTGCTGTTATCATTGTGATCGAAACATTAAAAACCGATGTATGGAAGTGATAATTCATACTTGTACAACATACAAGTGGACCACTCTGCAAAAATTGCTGAGTGTTACTTCAACAGATTGTTTACTTATGAACCGTAATACATCCTTACTTTCATTTCAAAATTTATTTAGACATATTGTAAGCAAACAAAAGAAGTTGGTCCGTCTAGAGCAACCATTAGTTAAGTGTGAGTTTATTCCACTAGCGCAATTAAGGGTTATCTTGAAACTAAGCACCGTGGACTGGATATCAGTACAAATTTTTGTCGTGATCTGTCACGTGGTATCGGAGTAATTTAAGATTTAAGTGTAAAGAAATTGTCTTCACACGCTCGGTTATTCAAATTACATCTTTATGTTCGAGGTGAACAATTTTTCTAATGTGAAAATGAATTTAAATTGTAAATAAAATCTACAAACATATTGATATTTAAGAATATTAGTAGATGTTTCTAACATTATAAAGTAATTTATATTGCGTAGATATGCAAATTAATTATTCAAGAAACAAAAGTTCGTTTCTGCGTGAATCGTTCGGCGTTTGTCCTCTTTTTTATATATATTGTTAGTACAAACACACATATCATTTCAGTGAAAATAACAGGGGGTCGATGCCATTAAATTTTAGTGATTTAAAAGTCGAATAGGTGGGTAGTTGAAGGGTGTCGTATCTCGAGTAAGGTCAAACTTAATGACGATTTCACTCGTTATTAGTGTGAGATTTAAACCACCCACCGCCCTGTAATTATTTAAAAAGTTAACCGAAATAGTACATTTTAGACGAACATATTCTACGGTTTTGATGGAAAAATTATATTTTCAAAAACGAAGGAAACTGGTAAAAGTCACTTCCTTCAACGGAAGATCGACATCCTTTTTGTATTCCCTTATCTCCTAAAATTTTAGTCACTCTGGGAACAGTCAACTCCTCGGTAAATCCCCCTTTTCGTGTTCAGGTGGAAAAATACGAGATACTGATTGGTTAAAACTCGTCAGAAAGAGAAAGAATTCGGAATTATTCTGGGAGTACGCCACGAAATTCGAGAGACGGAAGACGTATTCCACATCATCTCCCTACGGCCAACGCCCATAACCGATTCCCAAAGTCTGTTAAAAATGTGTTACTAAATTGTTAAAGACAGAGAAGAAAATGTATATTGATGTGCCGTCAAAGAACTAACTAAAGAGAGAACATTCGCAATACAGAAGATAAGAGAAATGTCTGAGGTAGTATGATTTTTACAGAAATTGTGAACTCTCTCTCTTTGCGATAAATAGCTTTATTCGAAGGTCTATTTTGTATAATTTTATTTTGTTTATTAAATATTTGTTCTGTTGTTAAAGAAATGGTTTCACAAGTTTCTGCATCAAAAACATCTTATCATCTGCTAAATTATTCCATACGCATGTTAATCCGCGTAATACAAATTTGATTAACTGGTGTCATCACCCTGACGTAAATTTGAATCTCAAGATTTGGATCCGTTTTAAAAGCCCTTCGACTAGAGATTGGATTTCTCGATCCGAAACCAAGAGAACAGATTTCACTTAATCTGTGCCGATTAAGTGGTACAAATTCTTCGAATCTGTACCCCCCGGCTAACTCACATTAGCATTTACAACTTTTTATAAAATATTTCTCTACTCTCAAATTTAACCATATTGCCATTTTATAATAATTAATAATAATAAATTTTTATCACCAAAATTTTTAATGTTGACGGGAAAGTTAAGCAACTTGTTCCTGGTGTTTTTTTAATGACTATTTATCTACGGATAAAATCGCAACACTATTTTATTTATCACCAAGGATATGTTTATCTTTCTGTCCTCTCTGGCTACGCCACTATAAACCAGATAAGGTTTAGATAGTAAATTATTCTTGAACTTTCATTTTGAGTGGAAATTATACAATATTACTTGAATAATATTATATATTTTAATATATTGATTACAAATTCAATCTAGAAAACTTTGTTAACAAGTCCTGTCGAGTTTCGAGTAAGTTGAAAAACTTTTAGTAATATAAAATTAGTTGCATACGATATACTTTGCTACTTATTTTAATATTTTTGCAAATTTGCTGGCTATTAAAATATATAGTAAGATACATGCATAGGTTGTGAGCGTAATTTGAAATTTAACCTTTAATAGGCAAATGAAAGCTGCCTGTTCAAAGTGTACGTACCTACCGGTACGTAAATTTAAAAGAGTTAAACGAATATTTACTGACTGATTTAGTGACCGATTAACTTTTCCTGGTAAAGTAAACTAACAGCTATATTTACAGTCGACCCTTCTATAACACTGTTGATAATTCCGTTTTATATGAATTTCATGTTGTACGAGTCACTTAGATTTTACAAATACGTGTGCCGGGCTGTGAACGGCACACGTATTTGTAAAATCTTATATAAAATCTAAGTTTTCTATGAATTCTAGGTGTATAACATGGAATTCATATAAAACGGAATTATCAACAGTGTTATAGGGGGTCGACTGTACTATAGAACAGGTTTCAATATAGGATGCGGCACTAGCATATTTCTGATGTGTACAGTATGTAGCTCCTACCATGACAAAGTTTGGCCACCACTGCTAGTCAGTACATTACGTGTAGAATAAAAAACGTGCTGAAAAATAAGATATTGTAAATAATTTAAATGAGTTATAGCCTATGTTTCTTAAAATCTTTATCAGTTTCCTGTATGTTTTAACTGTGTGGTGTTAGAGTGCAGGTGAATTTAAAACTATAAACTGTTCACGATCTTTCCACTAAAGCTTTCTTATTGTCACTATTACTAACTTTACTGTTTATATGTATTTTAAAAAATGTAATTTTATTAGTAATTTTGGAGGTTATTAAAATATAATCTAGAAATAGGTTATTCTTATTTTTCAAGTGAGTCTCTAGTAGATATTAATCGCGCAAATTTTAAATTTAACGTTACCAGTTTGTGAGTAACAGGGGGCCACTGGGTTGAACCCTAATGACCGCTTAATCTGCAGGGGTAAAAAAGACCCGCTCTCGGTTGTCGGATGGCATAGGAGGGCTAAAAATATGAGTGGGGAGGAGTCGGAAGTCGTAATCAGGTGTCCAAAAGACTACACGGGTTTAAATTAACGAACACATTTAATAAATAACTAAGAAAATTTACACAAAGATATTAAATACAACATACGCGTATCCAGATATAAATAGGTATTCTAAAATCTATTCTAACCTAACGCTAAAATCCGAGAGAGAGCTCACGTTAGAGAGAGATAAATTATAATGGCAAGGGTTTACCTCGAAGGCAACGTTCTCCAATTATAGGGCGTTAATAAAACACTCTGTGATCGTCGTCTTCTAATCCGAGGTGTCCTTCTCAGGCACGTGCGGCTATGTCCGGTTACGGTGTATGCTCCGTCGCTCCTAATCTGTAGAGAGTTCTTCCCTGGCGAAGTTCGCTCGGAGGTTTCTTCTGTTAACCTCTTCGAGGAGTAATTCCGTCGTATCAGGAGAATAGAAAAAATATTCAAAGTTTTTACCTTTGCATGGAGCGGCGATTATGAGCTTCGTAGATCCTGAGAGTGCTGGAAGATCGTGTGTCGATGTTTCTTCCCCGACGATCGCTCTTGAGGTTTGCAGAGGGGTTTCTTCGGCTTAAGCGCCCTGGCTCAGCAGCGAGTAGAAAATCCGACCCCTTTATATATTCGATCAGCGTGGGAAAAATCTGAGAATTGTTGACAGCTTTTGACATCTCTCCCTGATTTATTACCGCGCCGTCGAAAAACTTATTTCCTTATATGGTCATTTTTATCGCCCGGTCGCTCGGACGTATGGGGGTCACGTGACATCGTGGTCCCTCGTCGATGACCTTCGGACGACGAAAGTCACCCTCACTAACTACGCACTTAGTGAAAAATAAAAACATCGTTCGTAGTCTCACAAGTTTCTGATCAGTGCTATATTTATAATTTTTAATTGCCTTATTATACAACTTAATAACTATTGTTTTAGAATAATTATTTAAATACATTATTTCAAGGGCCACCAGTGGCCAGCAGTTTTGTTCCCTGAACACTGGGAGTTCGGTTTTGAGTTCCTGACTCGTTAGGACAAGCTGACCACGTGGGGTTTCCGGGTTTTTTCCACGTCTGTAACGTCTGAATAGAGACCAGTCCTACAGCCAACAAAAATATCCAATGGTTTAAACAAAGCGCAATTTATTAATCAATTTTCTCTTCTACATATGCATTTCGGATTGACGTAAAAATTATATTTATATAGATTGTTAATTTTCTTCAAATTTCTTATAATGGTATTTACTTAATGCAGAGTTACTCTTTAATTTCGAATTGTCTGAGTACATTATCAAAATACAGTAATGGAAAATGTCTCTGAGGATAAATATGCTTTCTCCAAAGTTTACGAAGATCGAAATTTCGCCGTCAATTATCGAAGTAATGCGCTCAACAAAATGGAAGAAACAGAAGAATTTATTTCATTTTGCCTGCATAAAATATTTCGTGATGGTAAGTTTAAGTTTAAATAATAATTTATATTGATAAAGACTTAGTTTATTCTTTAATGAAATCGTCTAAAACTGTTAAACAAAGAAACGCCTTACAAAATCATAAACTTTCTGTTATAAATAACAATTAGATATGATGTTACCACAAATATAACAACGAGTTTCGTAACTTTTCCGGCTGTTAGGTGATTTTATTAAAAAAATAACTTTTATATTATTAATTTTACTATATTAATATTACAGTCGACCCCCGTATAAGATCATTGATTATTCCGTTTTATATAAATTCCATGTTGTACGAGTCACTTAGATTTTACAAATACGTGTACCGGGCTGTGAACGGCTCACGTATTTGTAAAATTTAAGTGACTTGTACAACATTGAATTCATATAAAACGGAATAATCAATGATCTTATACTGGGGTCGACTGTAATAAATAAATTGTGTGAGAAGCTATCTGTTATGAGATTTTGTTATATACATTTACTATATTTTTAATAATTATAAATGTAGAAAGTTTTTATAACAAAATCTCGTAACAGATAATGCCACACATCATTTTATTTATTTATTATGATTAATAATATAAAAGTTATTTTTTAAATAAAATCTCATACCCGGGAAAGCAACGCAACTCGTTGCTGGATCTTTTTTATACGTCATTGATTATTTTGAATTAAAATCAATCCATTTTGTATTCTAATCAAACAACAAATACATTTAGAGTTTCGATGCATTTCGAAAAAATTAAAGAAAATATCTTTTTACCTTTTTTATTTTAACAGAAATCTTTCAAAATAAGACACTTCTTGAAGTAGGATGTGGTCCAATTGTTCACAGAATAGCAGCAGCAAGTAAATACTTCTCTGAAATTATTTTATCTGATTATTCTAAGCATAATCGTGAAGCTATTCGACAATGGATAAAAAACGAATCATCATCAAAAGATTGGGATACTTTGATGCGAATGGAGGCATTACTTGAGGGATTTGGGTATGTTTGATGAGTTGATTTTATTATTTGTAGAATTTATTAAGTATCTTTTAATTCTTGTAAAATTAAAATAAAAAATATAACAGTACAGCAGTTATTCCCAAACTTCTTCGAGCCACCATTCCCTTTATTCCATAAACTTAAATCTAATGCCTTCAACCGTACCTCATTGCCCACAGCCAGTTTTCCATGGTGCGAGAGACTTGAAAATATTTTTAGAAAAACATTTCTACGAACCTCACGCTTTGTGTACTGCACAATACATTGTTTTCCACATCTGGAAAATCGAGACCAAATATGGAAACCTTGGAAGTAGGATTAACTATATACGAAATTTTGATACAAATCGGAAGCCATGTTATTTCAATTCAAATCTTCCCCTAAAGGAGTTAGACAGATGATCAGCACGACTATATTGTTAAAGGAAAAGTATGATGTACAGAGGCAAGCCACTATGAATTTCAGGTGGAGAGCATATTTTAAATTTAATTAATTAAAAAATGTGATTAAAAACATCCCGGTATTGTGACGATGTCACAATAAACAATTGCTCGTAATGAATTAAACATTACCTATAATAATATTAATGATACAGTACACTATAATTTTTCATAATTAAGTTATTGTTTCTAATAAGATTAATTTCCTATTATTAATTAAAACAATTATAAGAATTCACGTATTTCATTTGAATTATTTATTTAACAGAAACGTAGAGGAAGGTATAAATGAAATTAAATTTCGTTTGAGACAGAAAATAAAACAAGTAATTCCTTGTGATATCTTAAAAAAAGAAATCATTCCCTCAGGCGTAGGAAAGTTTGATGTGCTGTTCACATCATTTTGCTTAGAGGGGGCCTGCACCACATTAGAGGATTTTAAATCTGCTGTTAAAAATTTCAACAATTACATCCTGCCAAATGGAGAATTAGTAATGGTGACGATATTGGATAGCCCCTATTATTACGTAGGAAATAATAAACTTACAACTCTCTCAGTAAGTCTAGAGTTTGTAAATGAAGCATTGAAGGAAGCGGGATTCATTATAAAGCATTGTTATCTTACAGAAAATAACAAACAGGTACGAATTTGTAATTTCAGCGGTATATTAATATTATCTGCTATTAAATCAATTTAATTGGGCTGTAGTTTGAAAATAGTTGTATATTTATAAATCCCCGATGTCGTCCGTCTGTTTGACTGTCCTTTTGTAATCTCGAGAACGGGTTAAGGCATGTGAAAGTCGTGACAAAATATGAAAAAGTTAGTGGCTTGTTTAGACCAGAAATCATGTGATTTCAATTCAACTATTCTCTCTAGAATGGAGTTGCATAAATGACCGATATGATTCAATTGTTAATGGGAAAAGTATCGCATACAAGGGCAAGATAATATATTAAAGTCTACAGCATATATTTTTTATTAAATAAATTTAAATATGATTAAAAGTTGCAACCTGGTATTAATTGTCACAATGATTTTTGCTCGTAGATATTATGAATATCTTTTACTTGAAATGAATTATAAAAGAAAATAATTCAATTTTAAACAATATAATAAATATGTACGTGTTCATCTTAGCATGGATGCTATGAAAATTTTGATTGTACAATATTCGAGTATGTAAAGATGAAAAAATAAAATGTTTTATTATCCACTAAACGCAAATTACATAATGATTCTCGTATTATAATTTATTGTGAATTTAATACATGTTTTCCTGCTGTGCACACACAAAAGCTATATACGTGTTTTAATACAGAACAATAGAAAATTAACTTATTTTTGCATGTACTCGGTGAAGGACAAATGCCTGTTTTATGTTATACTACTCTTAGCTTAAGAGTAGAAAGATAGAATAGGCAACATGGGCGATCTGCCGAAGGTGGTGGTTCCCGGAAGGAGATTTTATCAGAACTTGGATCTTATTTAAGTATTAGCAACGTAAAGAACATCCGTAAATCTCGTCAGAACGTAGGATAGGCTCGAACCCACGACCAAATTTAAGTAGTTTTATTCGCCCGGCCACTGGTGAAACTATTCATATATTAGGGCTATAACAAGTCTAAGTCCAGCACTATCGAAAAATAAGGTTTTTCAATCTTCAGAAAGGTTTACATTTCTGAATTAGGACGAAATATATTTATTGTTATATTGATTCTTTCTATTTTGAATATCGTTTCGCAGAAAGATTCGCCTTCCAATAAATCTTTGATTTTCATCAAAACAGAGAAAGCACTGTACAAAGCTTTAGAAGCCTGAAAATATAATTGAATTCGTACTTAATTTTATTTTTCTTTTTTTTCCCTCTTTTAATAAGTATATTGATAGAAATTATAATTTGCTTTAAAGAAAACTACAAACCATTAATGGAAAAGATCTAGACAGAGTGAAGAATTCACCGCATGAAAACCCAATTTCCTTGTTATAGAAGAGCTTCATGAAACACAACATCTGAAAAATTCGTGAAATTTTAGAAAAGATTTTCGTTAGTTTTTCATTAAATCGCTTACCTTTAGTTTTGTATTCAAAGATAAAGGATAAAATGAAAATTTTCGAACTTCTTGATACGATCCATAAAACTGAAACGATTATAAAAGAACTATTTTAGTTTCTTTGCATTAACATATTGAGATAAAATTTCATGAAAAATCTTTCGATTGATCCTCTCTAAATTTTAATTCATATGCAATATGTGTTCTAAATATGTGGTCTAAATATAACGTCCTCATTGTAGAAATTTTTGAAAATTATTTACTTATCCTCCAAGTTTGTACATTTCTATCGGTATTTCTTGAATGTAATTTAATTATTTAGTTAAAATGTATATGGATATCAATAGTATATCAGAATCCGTACTTGTACCCGTGACTGTGTTAATTGCATAAATGCCAGCAAACCATATTGTGCATTTCCAATAGAGGAATTCAAATCGAAATTACACGTAAGTTTCGAGGCCAAAAGCCATAAAAATTCAGATTATACCGCAAGTACGATCTGTATTTTTATGAATACTTCGTGAAAAATTCTGATCTGAAAGCATTTTATACAGTAGACCCCCTATAACACGGGATCATATAATACGGATTCGTATAACACGGCGAAAAATTTGCGATCGTATTCGTATAAACACGCTAAAAGAGACTCGTATAATACGGTAAAACGTCATCGCCGACTCGTGTCGCGACAGGATTGGTCGAATCTAGACCAATAGCAGATATTGCACAATCCGTTGAGTTTAAACGAGCATCGGACCTACTAAAAACCATTTATTATTTAACGGCCATAAAACTTAATTTTATACTAATGATGTCTCCAATGTTCAGCGAATTTTTCGCAGAAAATTAACTTATCAGGAAACACGCTCCCGCCGTTCGATGCGCCGCTCCGCGACGAAATCAAGTTTAAGCAATGACGTCGTCGAACGGTACACACTCGGTAAGTAATCCTACATTTTTTTCTTTATAGCAGAGTTTATACGGATTATTCTCAAAAAATTACACTTGTTTTGGAAATGTTGAGTGAAATTATTCTAGAATAGATTAATTTTATAGAAGAAAAACTTTCAAATAGCCGTAGTCCCTAAACTGTATACGTACCGAGCTGTGATTGGCTCATGTATTTAAGTGACTCGTAAAACACGGATTTCATATAAAACTGAACGTATCGACCGTGTTATAGGGGGTCTGCTGTATTTTTATAATATCGAGGACGAGTCTACTAAAATCTAGGTCTATACTAATTAGATAAACCATTTTCTCATAATATGCAGTATTGTGTAATATGGCATCAATAATAAAACGACAACATAATAAATTTCAAACCAGAGATGGCCAATAAAAACGTTAATTTCAGTCACCTGACATTTGTGCTTAAGTAATAGTCTGCGCAACGAAAGACCAGACATGAGTCATCCCGAGTTCGAAGGGTCTATATCAGATGAAAGGAATGGCAAGAGACATGTGGAATCGACACATGGATCTGATCTCTTTCAGTTGTGATTCCACGTATCCTTCGATCCTTTTTATCTGTCATTTACCCTTCCAGCTCGGGATATTTCGTGTCTACTCTTTTTCTGCGCGGATTATATATATAAAACTATAAGTACAACATCAAAACACGCCAATCCTCATTGCCCATTTCTGGTTTTTCACTTCCAGATATCAGAATACAACAGTTCAACGATTTTGTTTTGAAAAGTATTTAAGTTAAACAATTACCTGAACAAAAAGTTTCGAAATTTCATGCGAAATGAATATAAGGCTAACAATCACAAGAATACAATAAGGAGTTAGGAAGTATCTCAAAACAACGATTCCTGATCCTCCGAGTATTATGTTATAAACAGCCAGACACAGGGAATAAATTGCTGCGAAATAAGCAAGAAATGTACAGTTTTTAAAAACTTCATTTATGTAATTGAGAAGTTGATAAATCTCGTCGTGACTCTCCATAATTCGTTGCATTTCTCCAACATTCGTTTTTAATAACGCTTGCCTACTGCTACGAGCAATGTTCGATAACTTGAGTTTCATGATATGTATGATAACGTACATTGCAAATGTTAAAAATATAATTAGACTGACTTGATATATACTATTTATACTATTCAGCAACACGCAGAATAGTGCAGAATTACCATACTTTTTGTATCTTTTACCAATTAGAATCATCATGGTCGGAAATAACGATACTAAGAATATGTAGAGCGATCCCCAGTATAGAAAAACACGCGATTGATGACGGTTTATCTTCTCGTATTCGTTACAATCGACTCGAACATTTAACGATATATTTTTCCCTCGAAGAAAGGCAGATATCAAGAAACAAAATAAAGAAAGAGCCAGAAACATACTGGCAAAGAAGACTGTGCCTTGTTTCGAAGCGTGATCTTGAATGCAACCGATATGTCTTCCTCTTAATTTGTAGAGAATCTCCACTGTTTTTGTAGAGAGATGAGCAAAGAAGACCGACTGTACAAGTGTGAAATAAATGTTTAATGCGGTTATTCTTAATGTAGACTTCTGTTCTTTGCAACGTTTTAAGAGATCTAAACCGACGAGATTCAAAAGAGAAAATATAGGACGAAGCAAACAAGTCAGACAGAATCGATTTTCGGCAACTGTTCTGTTTGAAACTTCTACGAAGGGATACATGATTGTGATATCTTCTTAATGCGTAGATATATGATGCGTTATAGGTTATATATGGTGCGAAGTACAGTATGTTATATAGGTTTATACAATCAATGCCATATAACTTCTCTACATTATAAAACACAAATGATTGTCGTGATATTTTAACCGAGATATTAATGTTTAACGTTTATTTAATTTATAAAATACCATTACACGTAACATAAATATTAAACTCCGCTTATATCTCAGTATTAACGAAAGAGGTAAACAATGTTTTAAATTCTTTGCGTGAACAATGTGCATTCATTGAAGGAATTTTATTTGTGTCCTTCGAAAACTTCATTCTTTGTGTCATTCCATGTTGACTTTAGCATATTATATAAGTTATTATGATTAATAACTAGAATATCCCAGAAGTTATTCTGGGATATATTAACAATGAATTTTAATTAAATTTACATTAAATTTGAACGTAAAGGTATTAAGATCCATTACAGGCGAAGTAATGACATTTTAGTTTTTGGTTAATGCGATAAAGTGACGTTTTGACAGTCATTTATGTTAAAATGGAAATCCTGTAAAACAACGATCTAGAATTGTATACGTAATAAGTTCCGTCTTTTTCTCAGACGATTTTAAATACTCTTGAAGAGGAAGGATTTTAGTGACATTATTTCGGTAATGGTGACTTTCACGTTTTGTTTTGTTAATTAATGAAATTATTTTACTAGTTGTAGTAGCTTTTTCTCCAGAGATGCAAATGGTTGCGTCAAATACAAGTTTCATCCATGAGACTGTTTCTTGCATAATAATTTTACGTTTTGAATTTTGATCTTCACTGTTTTGCCCATTAGTTTAATCTGGTAGACTAAGATGCTTTTAGGATGTGTGGAGATCAAAATTCAAAAAGTAAAATTAATAATCGTTTCTCATTTTAAAAAGAGCGTTAAAGCTACTGACCAACTAATAAAAGAACAGGAAAAAGAAGAAAATTCATTCAAAGCTCCTGCACCAGGTGGAAAGACTCTTACTTAACGATTGAGCAATATCTTGAAATACATATTTTCATTCGAAAGGCTGTGAGAAATGCGACACTGAACTTGCTTTTTACCGACAAAATATGATTGCGATATGTTGCAA